GCCCCAGACTTGCAGCTGCAGCCCAGTGTGGGTTGGATATGACAAACATAACATAGTGTGGCAGGCCAGTGTGATGCCCCTGGCAACTTATGCCCCCTACCACCCTCCCTCCTTCCTGTATCTCCCACTCCCACTCTGGAGTACAGGGAGGCCAACTGGCACAGTGTGTGTTGTGTCTGTATCCTGGCACCTGCTCCTGCCCCTCGACAGGCCTGGAGGAGGTTGTTTGGGTTAACAGGAGCCAATCAGCTGGTACAAGAAAGACCCTCCCAGAATGTTCCAAGGGAGGTGAGACTTGCTAGAGCTGGGTGGCTGTAGTCCCTCTCTGTAGATGAGACCGAAGAAGAGGTGGGGGGCGGGGCAGGTTTCCCTCTGTCTCCCAGTGTTCTCCTTGATAAAGACAAAGAACAGACCTCTCTTGAAAACATGAGAACTTTATTAAATGTGAGAAAATTTTGGAGAAGGAATTTTTTCATAGCACTTAGACTGTGAAAACAAATACACCTGATGGGATGGAACACTGCTTTTCCTCTGCCTCAAGTTCCACTCTGCACCCAAGTGACTTCACCTGGTCTGAGAGATGTGGCCATTTTTGGAGTGGTCTGCTCTAAAATAATTACACAAAGTGGTCCATGCTCAACAGGCGCGACTGTGTGGGCTATAGTCCATCACCGAACACCAACAACCAGCCCTGGCCACTGCTGTGGTTTTTGGCTTAGAGTAACAACGCAAGCGTTCACCCCAGCTGCACTGTGGGCCACCCTTAGAATCCCTCTGCCTAGAAGTGACATTGTCTAGCAAGAGCAATTTCAGTTGTCGCTGCTGCTATTATGAAGACAGAGTTACTCTATTGCTAGACTCAGTTCTGGAGGCCACCATGGGCACTTGCCTATGGGATGTGAGCACAGAGCACAGATGATAAGGAAGTTCTCCTGCCCCCATTGCCCTAGTGTTCCTGTCCCTTTCAGTCCCTTTACTTGCTCTCATGTTAGAGTTTGAAATGCTCAGGTCTTGTCATCCCGTACTTTGTGGTTCGCTAGGTCTGCTGCAGGACCTCTATGCCTGGTGTTTTCTTTCAGTACCAAAAGTTGTTTGTCTGGTGGCCTTAGGTGGCAGCGCCACTCCCTAGCCTTGCCTTTGAATGTGGAGCTTGGAGTGGCAGAAGGGCCCCGTTTGAAGCTGCTACTTCCCTTTCTCTGCCCTGCCTGTCACCAACACTAGGACACAGCTGCTTGGCAGACCTGTGTGCATTTTCAATGAACCAAAATTAAAATTTATCATGTTAATATTTTACAGCTATAATAAAGTTTAGAATTTCTACTTTTTCATTTATTTTAACTGTTCTTTTATCTATTATGTTGTATGTGGATGGGGAAGTTTTGTTTCTCCTCTTAGCATTTGTTTCTATATCCAGAAATAAAATTATATATTAAAGACAAAAAAATTGAACCTTAACAGGTGGGTATTGTGGCTAACCTATGATAACTGCAAGAAAAGGAATAACAACAACAAAAAAAAACCACCCAAAACAAAAGATAAAACAGTCAATATTTTGTTGTTGAGGACAGAGGCTGTCTTCCTCAAAGCAGTTTTTTGTTTTGTTTTGTTTTGTTTTAAAGTTTTTAAAGTCACATCTGGTTAGGCCAGTAGAAGCTGCCTGGCTTAGAGATTTATTTATTTATTTATTTATTTTTTCTTTTATTATTCATATGTGCATACAAGGCTTGGTTTGGCTTAGAGATTTAAATCAGTGGGAGAGTGACCCCACTAGGCCTTCACCCAGAGCCGCAGTACAGAAAAGTAGATGTAAAGTTATGTTTGCCATGCTGGCCTCCAGGGGCTGAACTCCTCACCTCCCAGACGTGGTTTTAACTCCCACTTGATCTGGAGCATCCTTCTTGTCTCCCAGCCTCCAGTCAACTCACAGGCTGTTTATGTACACTGATGTGATTCCTGGATCAGAGATGCAGTGCTGGCACTGGGCTTGCTGACTCTGTCCTTGATCATGCTGCTTAGGTCATTGCCCAGATTTCCAAGATGCACCTATAGCTAGTGCTGGGATATGCTGGTTATCAGGACTGTCGTTAGACTCATTGGAGTGGCTCTTTTTCTTTTCTAAAAAATTCTTCTTCTTGCATTCTTTAATGTAGAATGACATGTATTAATGGGAATTTTTAACTTTTTGTGAAAACCCAGGAAGAAAGCAATTTTGAATTGTTTGTCATATACCTACAATTTATGTCTACAATAGGACATATTTATTAATAGGACCAAATATATATATTCTTTTCTCAGAAATTTAAGAACACAAGAGTAAACTTGAATTTATATCTAGCAATTGATGATTGGGTACTTTTACTTTAAAATGACTCATTTTATGAATATATGTGGCTTAATTTAACATAACTTTTAACATTCATCTATTTTTGCATTTCCTTTTTGATTAACACACATTAATTACACAAAGGGATTTCTATAGATATTTACAATATACTTTGATCAAGCTCAACCCTTCTGTTAGACTCTTAACCATCCCCATATTCTTCCTCAATAAATGTGCTTTGGTCATGTTCATTCCCAGTACCTCTCCTTCCCCCATTGCTAATTTCCACCCCTCAGACAGTCCACCTTTTAAGCTCATGTCCCATTGTTATTGTTGCTGTTATTTTTTTGTGCGCGTGTGTGGTACTGGGGTTTGAATTCAGGGCCTCCACCTTGAGCCACTCCGCCAGCCCTATTTTTCTGTGAAGGGTTTTTTCAAGATAGGGTCATGCAAACTATTTGCCCAGGCTGACTTCAAACCACAATCCTCCTGATCTCTGCCTCCTGAGTAGCTGGGATTACAAGTGTGAGACACCAGAGCCCAGATGTTTTTATTATTATTGTTTTAGGTTTAGAGTCCACATATAAGTGAAAAATTTTGATACTGGGCTTTTTGAGTTTGGTTTATCTCAACAGGATGACCTCCATTTTCCCCACAAAGGACATAATTTCATACTTCTTTAAGGCTGAATAATACCCCATTGTGTATATATACTACCTTTTCTTTATCCATTCATAGGCTGTTTGGCACCTAGGCTGACTACATAGTTTAGTTATTGTGATAGTTCTTTGGTAAACATGGGTGTTAAAGTATCTCTCTTGTACGTTGATTTACATTCCTTCAGATATACCCAAGACTCACATAGCAGGGTTATAAGGTAAATCTATTATTAGTTTTTGGATGAATCTCCATACTGATGTCCATACTGTTGCACTAACTTACATTCCCACCAACATGGTTCCTTTTTCTCTCATTGGGGGAGGATGTTCCTATGATGCAGTTGGTATGGAACTTTCAGTTGGAAAGTCCCCAGGCCAGAGCCACTCAGTCTAGCCCAGGGATGCCAGCTGTCAAAGCTACTCACTGGACTCTCTCCCAGCTACCTCCAAACTCAGTACTGGCACTCAGTTCAGGAAACTACAAACACCTGGTATGAACAGTGGAGGGATGGGAGGGGAGAAGAACAGGTGTGTGGATAGTTGATATTTCAGAGAAGCATAAGAGGCAGGCCTGTTGGAGGGGGAAGAGCTTTTGAAGGGGCTGTGGATGACCATCATACCCAGGAGCATGGAAAACAGCATGGAGGGGGCAGAGGAAAGCCTGGTGTTCTGGGCTATGAACTACTTGAGATTAGTACCATTCCGTGACTTGGTAAAGGGTCTCCACACATGAAATGGGCCTGTGACAAGTCCAATTTCTAACACTGGCAAAGCTTTCCCTGGCAGATCCCTAAGTGAAGATAGCTATGAGCAGGACATAATGCCAGGACTAGAGTAGACACCTAATACTGCCCAGTTGTCATGAATTACTGCTGAGGGACAACTGGACTCCTTTGATCTGGAGGATATTAACCTCTGGGTTTCTGGGACACAACGAAAGGCCCCAAACTCAAATGGAAACTCCAGAATTAGAGATGCAGTAGTTTGGAAAGAGGGACACACACATGCCATGCACGTGGACACGCACATACACACAAACCAGCATGGACTGCCTGTATTGGAGGTCTCCAGGAAGGCAAAATCATACCTAAGGCACCTGAGCTTTCGGGGAAAGAGACTTCCTGGATATGAATCACACTCTATGCCCCACCACCCTGTCATACTGACCCATACTGACTCAGATGCCTGGGTCTAGCAATCACAATGAGGGCAGTAAGTTCAGCAAGCCATGAAAATCTCCCCCACTGCCTCAGTGGCCACTGTCCTCTTCCTCTGCAGAGACTTGGTTCTAGAGCAAATGGAGCCATTATTGCCCCAATTCTGCTAACAGGACTATATTCTGCCCTTTTGCCCTGTGATTGTACAGCTCCTCTACTGCAGAGGCTCACCTATTTCCACCTGGATTTTCCTATGTGACACCTGTAGAGCCTGGAGTAGCTTTTCCTCCTTTCTGCTTTTGCTTCTGATTATCGGCTGTACAGGATGACACAGTGGCATTCACACTTCAACCAACCAAGGACATTTGCACAGCTGTCCTGAGATGCCAAAAGCTGCCCAGTCAAGCCCTGGAGAAACTGCTGGTTAACAGGCTTATTAGTGAAACATTTTTTTTCTATTTTATGCAACGTAACTGTGGTGTTAGGCAAATAACAAACAGGAACTTAAAAACATCAAGTGGAGTCAGGTGCCTGTGGCTCATGCCTGTAATCTTAGCTACTCAGGAGGCAGAGATCAGGAGGACTGCAGTTCAAAGCCAGCCCAGGCACATAGTTCATGAGACCCTACCTTGAAAAAATCCTTCACAAAAAAAGGGCTAGTATAGTTGCTCAAGGTATAGGCCCTGAGTTCAAACCTCAGTATTCTTAAAAAAAAAAAAAAAAAAGAACGAAGAAGTAGTCATCATGCCCACAGTTCACCATCAAGCAGACTGGAATCTGATGTGCATGAAAAATGAGTTTTCATAATTTGTACCATTGAAATATCAGAGTTTGCATTTTACTATGGCAGGAGCAATTGGATCAACTGAATCTTGGCTGATCCGGAATAGTAGGCAGACGGTATGTTAAATGAACTATAGAAACATTCATTAGCCTTGCCATCATGCTTAGAAAGAACTCATTGGTCTTCTGAAAGCCCATGCGCTGGTAGAGGGCCAGGGCGCTATGCTGCACTATGGTGGTTCCAAGGATAACATCACAACAGCCCTGGTCTTGGGCAAACTGGAGGACAGTCCTGACCAGGGCTTTTGCTATTCCCTCTCCTCGGTGCTCCAAGGCCACAGACAGGCGGAAAAGCTGCAACTGCTTTCTCCCCAGTGGGGGATCCTTGGCTGGCAAAGTACCCACCATGCCTACAACCTGCCCCCTATACTCAGCCACCCAGAAGCAGGAGCCACATCCACTCAGGTAGGACTTGGTGATGTCAGCCAGGTCTGTGCGCAGACATTTCAGTATATACTGTCTCCAGGAATATCTGGTCAGGAGCCACAGGAAAAGGAGCAGGGTAAAGTTGCACAGAACAGCCAGGAGCCATGAATCATAGAGCAGGAACAGGACAAGAGACACCCCAAGTAAGAGGAGGAGGGTGCGGGGCAGCATCAGGACGCGGTGGAAGGTGGCAGGGATGTGCTCCTCCATGCCTCTGGAAAACAAGTCCAGGACCTGTTTGTGATCACTCTCCCGGTATTTTCGGATGTGATACGGAGCCATGCAGAAACTTCTCGTGTTCATGAGCCACGGCTAAACCTGCCTACACACCTTCTTTGTAGTCCTGTAGAAGAGAGACAAAGTTATGTGAGTTCCCCCACAGTTCCCAGCCTCCTAGACACTATGAAACCCTGCTCAAGGGTGTGCCTTTTTGTTGTCCCCCAAGAGAAAGCCTGCCGTCACCACTGGGAGAAGGTGTAGGTTCAGAAATACCCGATTGGAACTCTGGTTCCTCCCCTTTCTAGCTATGTGACCTTGAGTATTTCACTTAATCTCTCTGAGCCTGTGCATCATCTCCATATAGCGTAAAATAGTACTGTCCTTCTAGGTTTGTTTTGATGATTTAATACCGGGGCTTATATGAAACACTTATGTAAACAGGCCCTTCCCCACCACCCTCCTTATAAGCTTGCTGAACTAGTAGTATACTGAGATGGCACCAATGGCAGGAACATCTTATGTCTCCAGATCTTGTTTTCCTTTTCAGAGAGAGTAGGCAAACAATGCAAACAAGACCTTTGAGAAAACTATAGAACATCCTTTTTCCTTTGGCCAGAGTCAGCTAAGTGTCAAGGGACGTTTCTTGGGAATCAGCATGACCAGATATTAGTTCCCAGTAGGCCCTGTTGAACAGGTCCTGTGTGCAGTGCATACATACACTGTGCACTTCCAAATAGAAATTTCAGCAAGCCCTCTTCTGACTGATTATAAAGACTTAAAAGGTAGAGAAGGCAAACGGATTTAACCCAGAATGCTCCACCCTTAAGTTCTCAGAAGACCCGTCAAAATCATTTTAAGAGAGAGAGGGAGAATGGAGAGGATGAACCAAACCAGCATACATTGTACGCATATATGGAAGTGTCCCGACAAGACCCCTGTACAACTATTGTATACTAATAAAAACATTTTAAAACGATCCCAAATGTTGTGGGACTCTGGGGCCACACTGACACCCTGACCTTGCTCCTGTGTCCACTCACTGCTAACACAGAACTAGAGTGTTCAGAATGGTTTCAGCCTCTGAGTGGCATCCAGGAGAGACTGTAGAAGGTCTGCCCCGCCTCTGGGGATTGCTCCTAGGTTGGCATCTCATTGGCTGACTCCAGGATAATCATAAATCTCGATATTAACAGATGGTAAGTGACAGCACGGAGATCCAAAGTCCATTCACCTTATGACTCCTGCACAATTAAAATGAAGCAGTGTAGACTTTGGGATGGCCCAGTGGTCCAGACCCTTGACCTGCTACTCCACTTCCTGTTCCCATCAGGTGTAGTGTCTCTTACCCAGCATACCTGGCCTTCTCTGAAGTCTACCATGGTCCCCTACACATACCTGCTAGGAGCCTGGGGACTATGCCATTTACACTGGGCTCTCTCATCACAGTCAAGAATCCTATCCTGCTGACTCAACACAGGTACTTCATAGTTAGGCTTCTCCCTGCCCAAGCTGAACATGGGTGTAGAAAAATGGATCCTTGCAGTTTCCCACAGTTTCCTCCATGCCCCTTCTTCTCTCCTTCAGACCCTCACTCCTCAATCATATTGATGCACTTGCTGAGCTTCAGTAGATATTCAGCTGACAAGCCCAGGACAGTGGGAAACTCCTATGAGCACGGGTGGCCAACCAGAGGCAGCACCATCACACTTGTCACATGTGAGCTGAGGATGTACCTGACTAACATAGCAGACGCACCACAGAAGGGCAGTTCCTTCTCTGTGGACACTTATCCATGGAAGGGACACTTCCCTACTCCACAGCAGCTCATCCTTGCAGAGCAATTAAATAGGCCCTGGATTCTCCTCTCATGGCTCCTTAAGGATGATATGGAATCCGGCGTTTTCTTGTAGTCCTGAGCTAATGATTATGGCAGCCAGGGGCCCAGTGGGCACTGAGAATGAAGCAGACATGTGGCTGGCATGCATTCTTACACAGAAGCAGCTCCTCCAGAGCTCTGGGAGGCTGGGAGACAGGTGGACACCCTCTCAGCTATGACAAGGGTCAGGATGAGGCACATGAGAGGGCTGACAGAATAAGACAATGACATGTCCCAAGGAGGATCCTTGGGCCAGACCATAGGAGTTATTAGACTTCCTAGGCAGTGAGGAGGGCTTCACTGAGACAGGAGGAAGGCCTAAGTGAATAATGGCCAAAGTTTTTGGGATACTAGCCAACCTTGCCACCCAGGGAAGGAGTAGGGTAAATTCACAGCAGCCTGAATCACAGGGCCAGCATCATAGTTAGGTAGCGTAAATTGTCTTCCAGGGACACTGGAGGAATTAAGTATGCTTTTAGATGGGAAGCTATATGATGAGGTGTGTGTGTGAGAGAGAGAGAGAAAGAGAGAGAGTTGTGTGTATGGGCACATCAGTCTACTTATATGGAGCATGAATCAGAAGGAATAGGAAGTACCAAAACAAGTATGTAAATGATCCCAGCAAAATAAAAATAAAGTCCTCAGATACCACAGGTGTACAGGGTGCATACTGAGCATGTGTACCTGTTCCACAAGACCTAATGGCAACTAACAACATCCAGTCTATGCTGATTCCCAAGAGAGGAACATTGGCACCCAGTTGAGGATTGCAAAAGGAAAAGCATTTTGTTGCTGTTGTTATTTTCTCAAAGGTCTTGTTTGCCTACTAACCTGTGCACCCAACGGGCTCACTGCTGGAACAGGGACTCTGTTCAGTGTTGAAGTAGCCATCGGCCCTAGCAGTGTGCCTTAGAAAAACACCTGGCCTGTCCATTATGAGACATTCAAGACAATAAAGTCTGCCCCTTCTGGATGTGCCTTATGGAGCAGAAATATAAGGAGTTACATGACTCAATAGCGTTGAGCACAAGGAAGGTGTCAGAAATATCAGCCAGGACTGTGGCAAGAACATCCTGGAGGCAGCTGGGGGTGGAGAGGAAGTCATTTTGGAAAGGTAAGGCCTTGCCTTTGATGTTGCCTTCAGCTTCCTCATGGCAAACTCGAAGCAGGGAGTGGCAGCCAGAACTGGAGCACTTGTGGAGGATGCTGGGATGTGGGATTGTTAACTTCTAGTCAGAACTGTAGATTTTTCCTTTAACATAATTCTGGTTAGTGCATGGGTTACATTGTCCTCAATACATTTTAATGTTTCTCTGATAGCTGAATGTTAGAAGTTTAAGTTGAACTAGGAATATTTTTGGAACTTGAATGTTAAATGTTAAGCAGAAAATGAAGTAGGAATGGGAGACAGGGACAGAGGGTTCCAGGCACAAGTGAGTGCCCTAATGAGTCTGTGTAACATTAACCAGATGGAAACCCAAGTCAAGATGAAGGGCAAGAAGCTTTTGCACTGCCCACATCTCTCTTCCCTCTGTTTGGTGATTACTGTGCCTCTGCAAACCCAGCAGTCTCAGTCATAAGATGACCTGATATTGGTGTGGCTCTCCTGGTCTTTCTGCTACTCTGTACAGGTGCAGTTTCCTTCTACCACTGTCCTCATCACATGTAGGATACTCTCCAGACATGAAGGAAGCTGAAGTTTCCCTGCTCCCTACCAGTTGAAAGGTGAGGGATATTGCCAGTGTCAGCAGATGTTAAAATGAACAGTCTCAAGTTTACTCACTGTTCCTGAGCACTAGATATAGACATTCCCTTGTTTGGTCCAGTGTGGTTTTCTCTGAAAGTGGTCCAGTTCAAGGCTGTCAGCACCCCAATAGAGACAGGACATTTTTGTTTGCCTGCATGGTGACAACCAATGAATTGGAGGTCTACCTGAGCCCAATGGGAACAGCACCCCCACAGAGATATAGGTTCATTATGACCCAGAGGCTGATGGTGGGGGACACTGTGACCACTGTCTGTGGGGGGGGTGCCCTGAAGTTTAGAGGGATTGGTCAACAGGTGCTGAACACTGTACATACAAATACTGGGAAAACGATAAGACCCTAGAGTGCAAACAGAAATTCTGAGTCCCCATGTCCCACCACTCTGGTTGAGCTTATTATGGAACAGAAAGAAGGAAGAGGTAAACTGTTGTGATGATGGGCAGTTGGGAAAGAATTAAGAGAAGACCAGAAAACACATGCAAATTTTAGGGTTTCTGAACTTGAGTGAATTTGTCATTGATTTATGAAATAAATTAGACAACTTGTTTCTAACTCACGTCGGATTCCAAAATAAAAATATTTTCCTAGTTAATATAAGCCAAACTGGACCTTGATCCCAACAAGGTTAACCTGACTTCATGGAAGGCCACAGATGCTTTCACAGGGCCTGGAGTTGGTGGCCACAGCCACTAACTCATTCTGTCCTCATTCTAGCCCTGATCATGCATCCCATCCATGGGTCCTCACATCCTTTTCTTGCTCTGCCCTATCACCACTGACCTGAAAACATGACAGCAGCATCCTCCACAATAAGGTTCTGTGGATGTACTAACCTGGGAGAACTGCTTCCTCCTTTTTACCGTGGGAAAATAACATGATACCTGATTCTCCAAAGATTAAGCTTAATGGAGAATTATAGAGCATTGCAATGACATAGCAAACTATGTGTGCATTCAAATGGCTGAGGCAATGGGAAGGTTCTAAGGAGAAGTGAAGTTCAAGGATCACTAACTGATAGAGATCCTCCCACCTAGAGCCTGCAGTCACTGGCAGACATCATGGAGAAGTATTTGCTGTAGAAGCATATGGTGGCCTTTGGGCAATATTTATTTCTAGTAGCACCTTTCATTAATATTTTTAGGTAACACATCAATGAGATCCTTCCTTCATACCCACAGGATCTCTTTATCAATTATTTGGCTAGGAACTGATAATAGGAACTAATTAAATTCTGGTAACTTCCACAATATACCTGGACTTAGGTATTGCAGGCTTGGTCCTAGGCTGGTGGAGCTATTGGGAGGTGGTAGAAAAATTAGGAGGTGGAGCCTAGACAAAGTAGGTCACTGGGGGTGTGACCTTAATAGGTAAATCTTGTCCCTGGCTCCTTCCTCTCTCTTTACTACCTGGCCACAATGAAGTGAGCATCTTTACTCAACCAAATCTTTCCACCATGATGTGCTACCTCATCATAGGCCGAGAAAAAATAAATCTGCCAACTATGGACTGAAACTTCTGAAATCTTGTGCCAACATAAATCTTTTCTCTTTTATGTTGACTTTGTCAGGTACTTTTTCAAAGCAACAGAAATCTGCCCAATACAGATACCCTTATAAAGTGTGGAAGTTACCAAGCGAACAAGGGTCCTATACTGAGCCTGAAGGCATCCTCACTGCCTAGATGCTTATGTTCACCAGCAAGTTCTTTTTTTTAATCCAGTTCTGTGGATCAAACCTAGGGCTTCAGGCATGCTGCGCAAATGCTCTAATTCCAAGCTACAGGCCCAGTCTTGAGTTCATGGTTGATGGTTTCAGGGAGCTGTGAGCCAGCCGAGTTCTGGCAAGATCCTACTTCCCTGGTGAAGGTGCAGGTTTCACTGAACTTTTCTACATCAAATCTTCAAGGTGTCTGGGATCCTGAAAATCTTGAGACCTTTCAAACTAGATCATTTCTCACATTTGAAGAGATTACTAAATAATGGCAGGAGTCCCAGAAACTCTGAAAGCTGTTCTGCAATTAGACATTTGATGCAGATTTCACCATAGTGGATAAATAAAAGAGGATTATCTAGCCTGGATACAAAAGCTCTTATGATCAGATCCTGTGGTGAGACAGTGAGTGGTTGGCATGAGTCCTACATAAGGGAACAGTGCAAAAGAACAACATGGCACCTTGAGCTATCATCATGTCACCTCCTCAGAGTTATGATTATTCTGGAAATGAGCAAGGAGTTTAATATAAAATACTGAGCCAACTCATTGTTTTTCAATGACTAGTAGTAAAAAATTTCCCCTTTTTGTGTTAGCCTCAGAGGGTCTGCTGCCTGACACAGGTGTCTTTGGACTCTGGTCTCAGAAACAGAGTAAGGGAAAGGAAATATCAAACATGAATTCTATCTTTAGAGCATTGTCTTTGTCATTACCAAAGCTTTTCCAGCACCTCTGAGATGTATTCAGTCCTTACCAGCTAATGAGCCTCTTGCCAGCTGTGCATTCAGACAGTCTTCTCAAGGACCTGCGTATCCTCTTTGAGGTAGTATCATCCAGTGAGGGAGGCCCTACTTCCCAGGCTCTGAGGGACAAGGTAACTTAACATGGGCTCTGAGTTGCAAATCTCCCTATATAATGAAGAGGAGTCCTGTCCACCCCCTGCCCTGCCCCAAGGCCTTGTGGCAAACATAGGTAGACAGGGGTCCTGCATGAATCAAGGGTGAGCCCAATGTGACCCTGGGTCCTGGGCCCGGGAAGTTCTCTACTTAGGAATTGGTAACTGTACAAGAACATGAGAGCATGAAGTGCAAAAAAAAAAAAGCATGAAGGCATGGAGTGGGAGTGGGTGAATGTGCTTGCTGTGTAACAGGGTGACATTTGTCTTTGCCACCTCCTAGCAGATTGTCTTTGATAAGCCTCTCACACTGGAGTTTCTTTCTCTCCCAGCCCAGCAGAGATCCTTCTAGATTTGGAGGAGATTTCAATTTCCATTTTATGGCTCAAGGTTAGAGAACTTTCTTTGGGGACTTCCCCAGCAGCAAGCAAGGTTAGAAAAACACTCCCCCATCTTGTACCCTACTGGAATTCAGTTGGCAAAAGGAGAAACTCACAAAAACCAGGGATCCTATAATGTGTAGAAGGAGGAATTCTGAGCACTTTAATTTCTGACACTGCTGAGCAAGTGTCAGGTTCCACTGCTCAAGGTCACTCTGCTCCTCCTGTGACAGGAGGTTTGGCTGGGCTACTCATGGTTATGTCCCAGAAAGGGATCCTGGATGTTTATGTAACCCAGAGAATCCTTGGGACTGCCCCTCAAGAGGGCGCTGTTGGTTTGCAGACCATTTGTGGGACTGCTTTAAGGGCTTATGGGCTTCCTGGGGTACCTGGTGTGGGTAAATGTGAATTTGTGTATGTGGAGGAAGAGGAAGGGGCCCTCTTCCATGTACTAAGTGGGGGAGGGGATTCAATGACATATTATGGTCCCTAAACATCAAGGTTGGACTTACAGCCATTGACCTGACTCAAATACTTCTGGCTGATACTTTGGGGTTATGTTTCTGACTCCTTATTCATACAGGATTTCACCCAGTAAAACCCAGGTCAAGATCAATAAATGGGTACTGACCAGGTAGAGGTCTAAGAGCAAGTGAAGGTGCTGCTGCAGAATGCCAAAAGACAGTCTGAGGAAAGCAGGGAGAAGATTGACTCTGATCATCCTGATCACTCCATCTCTAAGTGGGCAATTGTTCTTGGGGATCTACCCAGAATGTGGGAAGAAAAGGCCCTTGCTCATACTCCAGTCTTATGTGTGCTCAATACCTAAACAAGGACATACCTCTTGTTTATTCCAAGGGGTGCAAGGATGGGAATAAGCACATTTAATGGGAAGTTACAAAGCTCAAACTTCAAATTCCCTCCCTCCTTTGTACTGGTCCTTCGAAGAAATTCTATTTGGATGTGCAAGATCATATTCTGAAGGTAGTACACAAATTTCAACACCTCAGGGTCCTCACAACCAAGGTAAAGGTAGAGTGCAGATTTGCCTATTGGACAAAATACTGATTTCAGAGTCAAACAGAATGGGGTTAAATCCTAGCCCCACCTCCAGTATGCTCACCTCTTTGATCCTGCCCCTCACTTGTACGGTTGGAATGAAAGTGGTAACTCTGACTAGCCATGTATATAGCAACCACTCTATAAAAAATCCCATCAATAGTTCCACTATTTCTAACCTGTTATTTTATTTTATATTCCTTCACAAGTGTCTATTGAAAACAAAGCAGTTTGGCATTCACATCAGACTGATACAAACTAAGAAACAAATCCAGAAAAGTAGTTGTCATTTCTCCCCAGAACATGCAAGGAAAATGCTAACATAATGTAAGAGCCCAATATACATTGATTCTGCAGGCCTTATGGAAGTCTGGGGTAAGATTTGAAAAACTGATATAATTTCACCAGGAGAGAATGTGGCAGAAGGCACGCCAAGCAGAGGGAGCAGCAGAGTCTAGGGAAAACTCCAGAAATCAGCCACTGGGTCTGAGGGGCAGAAGTCAGGTGAGCAATAATGGATAGGAGCTAGAAAAGTAGATAGGACTAAAATATGGAGTTCAATAACAGTGAAATGAAAATATACACATATATGTACAAAATAAAAAATAAATGAGAAGAGATGCTGTCTACTGATACCTGTGTTTCAGGAAGATTAAGCTGACAGTAAACCATCCTAGTTGAACTGGAATGGGGCAAAGTCACTACATAGTCTAGTCTCAAGGAATCAGTGCTTGAACTAAGTGTAAGAGCAGTGATGCCAAGAATGGATTGTCTCCTTTGAATTGCTTAGGGACTCTCTATTAGAGCAATTTCATGAGAAAGGAGTAGAAATTTGTTAATATTTGTACCCCTACTACTCCCTGGGCAATACTCAATAAAACCCTAATAGAAGACAACCTGCAAAATCTAAGTTTAATCTTCCCTACTGCTGAGATAACCAAGTGGCCAGAGACATTTCTTTTTCCCAAACCCAAACTCCTGCTATAGTTAACATGACATCTCCAATCTCGTTTTAAAAATAACCTAAATAGTTTTAGGACTCTCTTTCTCCTTCCAAATACCACATTTTTAAAGTTTATAAGTTGCTACTGCACCGCTTCAAAAACACTGCTTTACTCAGTTTTATGAGACAACCGTCAAGTTTACACACACATACACATATCAAAAAACCTTGCTGAAAAGCCATCTTTGCAACAGAAAGCTTCTCTTTTAAGCAGCAATCAACATATTTTCATTGTCACTTATGAACCTGCCACATCATTAGTGTAACTACAAGCTGCTGCTTAAATTTCCAAAGTTGTGCAAGAGGTCTAAAATTATGCAACAGTCACCACCGAAACCGGACTGTTTTAGCAGTTACAACACCTTAAACAAGCCTTAGGTGTATTATTAGATGCAAACGAATGCCCAAATTGCAGGTATTAAAATATTTTACAATGACTTTGTCTGTGAAATTCATTAGGATGTAAAGTGAGAACTGAGTATTTTTTTGTGCTTCACAAGGACATGAGGTCACCTTAAAATTAGCAGCAGTGGCCAGGACTTGATACAAATCAGCCTACAAGCGACACAGCTCACACACCCGCAGAGCACTGACCCGCCGTGCTCTATTATCAAGTCACGCTAACCCACTTTTATTGGCCCGGAAGGGGTTGCCCGGCCGCAGTCACGTGACGTGACTTATTCCGACGGGAGTTACAGGTGTTAAAAATAGTCATTTTAAAAGGTTTCTCTCCTCCTCAGCTGGCTGTCCCACTTCAGGGTGCGCGCCTGGCCTGGGCCTCGGCCGGTGCTTGCAGGTCGGAGAAAGAGGGACTGGTCAAGATAACTGGGACCTGGTCCCGCCACCTTCGGCTCTACGCAGCCTCCCTCAGCCTCCCTCCCAGACCCAAAGTGAGGGGCCCAGGGGACAGGGCGCGGTCACTGGAGTCGGACACTCCCGACCCGGCGTCAGACTCGGCTGGACGCGGCGGGGGTGGCGGCCGCTCATAGGACCCGCGTCGCCAGCGCCCGCCTGCGGAAATCGGGCCGCGCGGCGGATTTTGCCGCATTTTGCCCGCGAGTCGGGACCGGGGGCCGCGGCCGCCCACCCGGCCGAGAGCGCGGGGCCCCACCTGTGCCGCCGATGCAGACGTACTGGAAGAGACGATGCGTACGCCAAGGCTGAGGCCAAGCCAGCCGGCTCCTCCTGGGCGTGCTCCACCCTGGCACGCTCAGCGGGAAACGCCAGGCCCCGCCCACCGCCGCCGCCATCTTGGTTAGCATCCAGAAGTAAGGGCGGAGAGGAAGGGGAAACTGAGGCCCGCGGCCACGCCCTCTAGACTTACACCTAGCCAAACACTGCTCTGTTCTTATTTTATTCACTCTATATAGCAGAAAATTAACATTTTTACAGTGTGAAACTTTGCGGCATTTGGTCCTTGCACAATGTTATGCCACGACCATTTTATTAAGGCCCCAAGCATTCTCGTTAGCCTAAGAGGAAACCTGTGCTCCTGCAGGATCTCTTCCTATATCCCTTCTCCTGAAGAACCTGGCCACCACGGGCTGATGATCTTCCTTGGGTTTTCATAATTTGTCTCAGCTCTCATTGCACGATTTCTTATCACGTGGAGTTAGTTCCCCAGCTGAGGTTCCATGCCCACTGAGTGACCCCCAAAGCACAATTGCATGCACTTGCCCAGCTGTGGGTCTCTGTGTTGAGTTCTTCAGGAAGAGCTGTGTCAGCCCCACTGGCAGATGTGGATTTGGGCCACGAAGATGAGCAAGGAGGAACCGCTGGGATTGGGAGGCCCCTCCCTCCCTCTTTGTTTGTTGGAGTGGTGACCAGGCTTGGGAGCCTCAAAAGTCAAGGGACCCTGCCGCCCCTCTTTTCTTCCGGAGGCTGGTTACCATGTTGCCTGTAGAAGGAGCTGTCCACAGTGAACACTCCACATGCTGGTATTAGTCCTGGGATATAAGAAGCTCCCCTGACTAGCTTGTTTTTAACAGGCAACATGGCAACTTGGTGTGAGGAGCACACTTTGAAGAACGAAGGACTAAATCTCAATGGTAGCAGGATGGAGAGCTTTCTCCCTGCTCACAAAGTATCTTTCCAGCCCAGTCACCTGTGAATCTCACCTGGAAACTGTTGCTGAACCCACAGAAGTAGGGCAAGGGAAGAGCAGAGGAAATACTTCTAGGCTAAGAGAACAGCACACTAAGAGGCCTCATACAGAATTGATTGAACCGGAGCCTCTGGCTTTGTTTGGGGAGTGAGCACAGGGGCTGGAGCAAGGGAAGCCAAGCTGCAGTCCTGGGTCTGAATATCCAGGAGAAGAAACCCTGGCCCCTGAGGGCTCCTCCACTGGGAGAAGGTAGGACTTTGCCTGCCATTCCAGGGTGCCCAGGACTTCCCAATCATTTCACAATCACAGAATGTCTTTCTTTGGCCCATCTGCTCTTATCTCTTGGGCCCCAACAGGGCCTGCCTACTTGTGTACTGCATGCTTTCCCTGCTATTCAATAAAACATTCAGAGCCCAGGGACCACCTGGGCTTACCCCTGCTGTGTGCCAATGGGGAACTGCTTCTGGAAGTACTGGCCTTTCTGGGCAAGGAGAGCTAATGTCCTCAAAGCAGGAGAAAGGCTACATATCCTGCCCAGCCTCCTGGGAGCTGCCCTGATGACCCCATCATTGAGTATAAAGCTGGAACAACAACTCAGAATGCAATAAATGCTCAGTGTGAACAGTGATGGGTTTAGAGTAGTGGGAGTGACAGGAGAAAAGATGTGTGGATGGTTGAGTTCTCATAGGCGCACAGGGAAGCAGGCCTGAAAGAGAGGGATGGGCTATAAAATGCTACTGTGGTGACCACTGAGGCCAGGAGCAAGGAGAACAGCATGGAGGAGGCAGGGTGAGTTACATAGTCCCAGAACACAAAGGGAATCACTCCATGACCTGGCAAAGGGTCTCTATGTTGATGAAATGGGCCTGTGACAAGTTCAGTTGGCAGCTGTAGTTTCCAGGTGAGATGCACAGATGGCTGGGTTGGAAAGAGAACCTCAGAGCAGACAGGAAACTCTTCATCTTACTTGTATTCTGGCTACCATTGGTACTTAATCCTTTGTCCTTCAAGGGGCAGTGTTTGGCCCAGCTGTCCCCTCAGTAGAGATAGTTGTGAGCAGAAACAATGCAGGGTGAGAGAGGACACCCACACTGACAAGTTACTGGCTGAGGGACACCTGGGCTTCTGCTTTCCCCCCTGCTGGGGTTTGAACTCAGGGCCTCTCATTTTCTAGGCAAGCACTTTACCACTTGAGCCACACCATAGATAGCCCTTTTTGCTTTATTTTATTTTATTATATATTTATTTTTTTTTGATCCACATTGATCTTCAGAGTTTTAGTTTTATTTTTCATGTGGGATCTTGCACTTTTGCTTGGGGCTGGCTTTGGAATTTGATTCTCCTACCTCTGCCTCCTCTAAGTAACTGGGATTACAGTTATGTATCATCATACCCAGCTCATTTTTGGGATAGGGACTCATTAACTTTTTTCTAGGATTGGCCTTGAACCATACTTCAAACCAAGATTTTTCTACTTCTGCCTTCCAACTAGGTGGAGTTGCAGGTGTGCCCAAATCATCTGACCTGTGGACTTCTTTGATCAGTGAGAGGCCAGCCTCTAATTTAGGGGACCCAGTGGGAGGCTCCAAACACCCAAGAGTACCCCAGTGTTAGAGAAGTATATCTGGGAAAAGGAGACAGTGCTGCAAACATCACTGTGGAGAGCAAACTGCATAAGCACAGGTGTATCAAACTGTGGGTTTGAGTTTGGCACAGCTCCAAACTGTAGTAGGGGCAAGCATAGTTATGCCAATAAATTGCACCCTTGAGTTGGCACAGCCTCAGTTGCAGAATTGGGCAATATGCAGTACAGCTGTTTTTTCCTAAGATGTTTACATTCAGAGAGAAGCTGTCATAGGTTTCTCCTTTTCCCGAGAATTACAGTGTCATGCCCCCTCCCCCGAGAACTGCCTCTCCACCTCATTTTGCCACTGTATATAATAAACTTGCTGGAGGCGGAGGGTGCTAGTGTGTTTCCTCCATTTGAGCACCCAACCTACCTGGCTTCAGCTTTATGCATGTTTGATCTTCAGTCTGTTGACTTTTTCTGAATCTCCTGTCACCCTGTTAGGTTTATAGGACAAGCTCATGCAGGACAAGAGAGGTGGCGCCTGAACAGGGACCTGAGGGCAAGTGACACCTGGATGGGAACCTAACTACAGGGGAACTTGAAGCCTGAGACAAGGAGACACTCTCCAAGAAGCATGCATATCACATATACTAAGAAACAAGTAAGGTGTGGGGAGAGTGAATTGAATACAGCCAGGTATAAAACCATGGGATAGGGTGAGTCTAAGGACTGAGAGCTCTAGATATAGGCTTTAAAAAGCTATGTTAAAAATTATACAGTAGAAGAATTAAGAATTATAAGGTAGAATTTTATGGTAGAATATGGTAGAAAAATTATAAGGTAGAAATTATAAGGGAGTATTTGGTAGAGGAATTATGGTAGAGCAGTAGAACTATGGCAGAGCAGTAGAATAAAGTAAGGAAATAGAAGCAAGAACAAAGATTTTCCTCCTTGGTAGTTGAGCCGGGATGTGGGACCCATCCTTTACAAGCAGTCATACAGGAGTGTGAGAGGCAGTAACAAGATGCTATGGGCAGTGGATGTGCTGAGCCATCAGCCCACCTTAAAAGTAAAGCTCAGTCCAGAGATTCTGATTCAGTGTCAGATGAGGAGGATCAGGAGGATGCTCAGGCCCATGAAGTACAGGGACCCATGTATGTGGGGTCACCTCCAGGGGTCAAGAGACTTCTGCTTTTGCAAGTGTCCCTACAGGCCTTGCAGGCAGCTTGTAGTCAGAGAGGTTTTTACCTTGTGTTTGAGAGACTGGATCCAGGTTTCAAAACAACTCCTTGGATTGGAGAATGGGTTTCATTGGGAGCATTAAAAGAAAAATAAAAACAGGAGGAAATGTGGAAAGTGGATTATGAGAAGGCTATGAGAACTGGACGTAAGCAAGGTGAGATGCAGCTCAACTGATTTTCCTAAAATTATCTGTAGGGCAAGATAACACAGCCCTGGCCACAGTAGAGGGAGATGCAGAACAGCTGTTCCTAAGTTGTTTACTTTCAGAGAAGCAGGAACGCAGGTTTCTCCTGTTAAATTGTCATGCCCCTCTCCAAGAACTGCTGCTCTACCCTGTTTACCACTGGGTATAAAAGACTCATTGAAGGAGGACACAAGGCTTTTTGCTTAGGCTTTTGTTTTGGGGGCTTTTGTTTTTTGGTTTTTTGATGGGGTAGGCTTTTGGGCTTTTGGTTTTTTGGTGTGGGAGGCTTTTGGAAGGGAAAAGAATTGCTAAAGGGGAATTTCTAAAGAGGGGTTGATAGAAAGGCTGCACCAAGAACTTTAAAAGCTAAGCTAAAGCAAAGCTAAAGAGAACACAGTGCAAGTCTAAGGACTGGTACTTTAAGAGTTATGCATATGCAGATTTTAGGTGCTGCTGTTGTTTGAAAGTCTGAGCACCGAGGCTTTAAGAAAGCTAAAGAGCAGTGCAAGTCTGAGGGCAAAGACTGAGAGATTATGCTGAAGAACGTCTAAGAGAAAATGTGGGACAGAGAGAGTCTAAGGAAAGAGGTTTTAAGCAAGTTTTTAAAGAAGACTTTAGAAGCAAGGGTTTAAAGAACTGTAAAGGTGTAAGACTTTAAAGAATAAAGATAGAGAAAAGAAGCAATGAGGGTTGTGCATCTCCACTAAGCGCCCAAACACTCTCTTTTGTGTCTTTTCTGAAATCTTCCCGTTGCCCCAGTTTAACCCACTTGGGTTCAGTAATAACCAGGGCGAGAGAAAGCTGTCTCTACAAGGGATGAGAAAAAAGCTTGCTCCA